TAAATTTATTTATAATTAAATTTTATTGTTTTATTGCCCTTTGAACCATGTCTAACTACTATCCATGTCATTATAAGTTGTAAATCACTCTGGGAATGTGTAGCTCACGTTACACTATCGAACGAATTACATTACCCATGAGCTGCTGGTGTGCGTGCCTCGTGAACCATTTTAATTATGTATTTATTATTACTTATTTTACCTAATCTAGTCTTAACTAACTTATAAAGATCCATATAATAATAAATAAAGAATTAATGTGAAAAACAAGAAATAAAGTACTACCCAATCTTCTTCTTTCTTGCTCTCTGGTTTTCGACAAGAGTTAACCCTAATTTTTTATATTACAGATATTAATGCACTTAATAATTTTTATTTAATTAAATAATGCACCAAAGAATATAGACTAATAACATAAATAAAGTAGACAAATTCACTTATCTCTTAAAAATGTCCTGGCTTTCTAACTATGCGGCAAGAGTCGTTACAAATTCATCCAAGCTAGTCGTTAACTTTCCCAAGTGAACAAATCTTTTACTGTGAGTGAAATTGAAGATATTCTGTTCAGAATGCAACGTTATAGAATATGTCATTTGATAGATGAAAACATTGACTTTCTATTGGTTATAGGTAATAAATAATGAAACGTAAGAGAGAACTATCAATGAATTGTGAAAGAGAGGATGTGGCAAGAGGGGTCTGATTTTCTATTCGATAACTCTGTAATCAAACAAAATTGAAAGCTATAAAAATTATGGTTTGTTTGATGAAAAACGATTTTATAGAGTATTTTACATTTAATTTCATACTTTTTTGAGGGGTGGTGGATAAAATAGGGATGATGACATGCTAAAAGAAAATGTGTCATGTGGGTCACTCTAGTGGAAATTCAGGATTTTTTAAATATCGCCTTGTAGAATTAAGAACTTAAAACTTGTATACTATTAAAATATGCAATATTAGCTAAGATTTTATGCTATTTTAAGTGGTATAATATAAACAAAAAGTAGTTTAATAAAATTGTGAATGTAAGACACTAAAACCTTGTGTCATGCGCAGTAAAGGATACCCAGGGCAGTAGGGTTAAGATAACAGTGAGCTTGAAAATCACCCCAGTCCTGTCTAGAGTAGCATCTGTATTCGTTATCTGAGGACTATGATTATGAAAGAGCATGTATTCTGGTACTGCTAAAAGGTAATAAACAAGGATTCAAAATTGTTAAAATTCCAAAGTTATAAAATCCACAACTTTACAAAATTAGTGGCTGTTCTCATGAAGAATGATGACCACAGAAACTGAATATAACTATATAACTACTGAGTTCACTGAAGCAGCTTTATGTGCTTTTGGTTTGTTGACATATGGTCATGAAAACCGACATTTACTTACACTAGAGGATATCTGGAAATGTTTTCAAGATGTGTAGTTTAATTTCTTTTCATTTATATAGTTTTTGAGAGTAAAGTTCAGTTTGGAATAGAGATTTAATGATCCAAATTCTCAGTATGTAGAAACTGTGTCTCATTAATTAATCAATTAATTATTTTTTATAACAATGAATACATTTTTGCAGCTTTCACAAAACAGCTTTTGTATTTTGAGATTGTATATCATTAAATATCTGTTACAGTTGTGGTTCAATATTGATTTTACCATTCTTCACAGAAACTTATTGCAATGAGAATTACTTATGTTTGTGGACAGTGATGCAGTGTCATTTCGTTTGTTGACTTGCATTCAAAAGTTTATTGAAATACTATTTCATGAACTTATGTCAATAATTTTGGTATCAAACTGTAGATTATAATTTAAATTTTATTAATATACATTTTTCAATTTTTAATTTAAAAGTAAATATTAAAAGAACATAAACATCGATTTTTGTGAGTCACGTGGTATGTTGAATGCAACACTGGTTCAAATTAGATGTTTGTGAAGTGAAAATACTAAGTGTGTAGTTTTGTATAAATTAGAAACTCAAATTACCAATATTGACAAACTAGAATATAAAATAAGAATGTCTTTGTCATTTCTATTTGCTAAGATATTGCTCAAGTAATAAATCAAACACAGTGGCACCCCACCCAACTCTTCCCATTTTTTGAAACGCTCCCTTATATACACTTACTTCTATATATGATATAAATAACCAATCAGAAGCTCAGAATGTCCCCCTAGTGGCTTTTTCAACCATTTTAACGGACTTGGATGCCATTTATCTCTTTTGAACCAATATTTGAAAATGGTTATGAGGTCAGTTCTAGGGATCGAGCCCGTGCTGAAAGAGTTAATGAGCTTTGAATGTCCAGGAAAGTTGGAGAAAAATCAGGCATATTGTATTAGATTACATATCTCAACGAAATTTGCTTCTGTGGCAGTAGTTCAAACCAACAACTAGTGTTTCTCTGTTCCTTTAGTAAAGTATACTGTATCATTTATTGTTTTTACTTTCATTAACACTATGGACAATATAATTTAATACAGTGAATATCATTACTTTTAATTTTGTTTTTTTATTATTATACTTTTATTATAGAGATTGTTTTACAGTATTAGCTTTTGTAGTTAAAACTAACCTAAATCTCTTATGCTGGCCAAACCTCATGAGATATTATTGAGATAATGGCTGAATATATCATTAACAACAAGATTAACCAAAGAATGAAGCAATGCATACTAAGCTTTATAAATTAAAATTATTAAAAAAAATTATTATTATTTAAAATTATTTCATTATCTATACTTATTGCCAGGTTTATTATTAATTTTACTGTAAATACATAACTTGTTCTGATCGTAATATGATAATAATTTTCGGTATATATAATGACTTTTATTTTTACTTGTCTGAATAGTTGTATTAAATTGTTTTAAAGTATCTCCAAAGGTAAGGAGACACTGGTTTTGTGCTTTATTTCTTTTAGATGTTAAATTTAACATAACTATTTTGTAGTCTATGTACATATACTGTTTTTAATTTGTTCATTCACATATGTTAGAAAACATACTCTTAAAATAAAAGCATTTTTATCAGCACAGCTTTGTGTAATGATTATTACTAAAATCTACATAATGTTCAACTCGTTATAGTTTTCTGAAAAATTTTATGGAAGGTTGAGCATTTTCTTTAAGGTTGTGACATATCAGAGTGATTAATATTGTTCTTTGTTCTGTTTTGTGAATGAAAATTACATTTGTTAATACTCTTGTAAGAACCTCAATCATATTAAACTGTGTGATACAAAAAGTATTGTCAACAATTCCTTTCTTAACCGAACTTACAACAGTTTTCATTACAACATCAATAACCATCGTTGAAACAGGAGAATCCAGGGTAGTTGTTGATTTTCTTAATGATTATTCCTTCCCTCAGACTAAATGAGTTTTTGTAAAGCAGAAAGGACAATGCTGTTTGAATGTTAGCATCTAATGTGTTGTGTGTGAAAAGGTTTTTTTATTTTTTATTAAACTGTGTTATATTGTGAGACTCATATTAACCCTAGAATTACCAGTGGAGTCCATACTGACCCTTTCTGCTTTTTAAACACATTTTTATAAACTATTTTTGTACCAAATCAACAGTAGGTTAGTGACTTTGCTGGTTACAAAGTCCTTAGTAACTTGGGTCTTACAAATAGTTGTAAACAAAAATACCATCAATACTGTAATTAATAATTGTAATCAATCATATTAATTACTGCTGAGGTTCCATGTGTATTTTACATACAAAATGGTTGTTTTTACACAATTTTAGAATTTTTTTAATATGACACAGGATGTGGATCCTACCAATAGTGAATGGTATAAAAACAATTTGGTAATTTGAGGAAAGTCCCTGGAGATATGACACCAGTAGTTGTCCACCTCTGAAAGTATTTGGTCATGGCACAAAACAGTAACTTCAGATATTTTTGAAGTAATTGTGAAAAACACAGGCAGAATGTGACAGAATTTAATTTCACTTAAACTGCCTTTTTTCTTTCTCATTTTGAATCAGTCATAAATAAAAAGTGGCTCAGCAGTAAGTCTGAAGACGTACAACGTTAAAAATTGAATTTCAGTACTCATTGTGAAAACAGCACGGATATTCCATTGTGTAGCTTTTTTGTTTAACAACAAACAAAAATAAAAAAATAATTTTAAGATTAAAAATTATTATTATTATTTTTAGCATACAAGTACTGTGAAGCTATGCACTTGAATTTATGTATTTATTGTTTAGTGATGAAAAGATTGGTACTTTTCTATGGTATTTTGCAAACTCTACAGTTTTATAGTAAATTTATCATTTGGTTTTTCAGGAGGACCTGAAAACTCTCGAAGTGGAATGTGTTAGCCATTTAATACTTACCGAAGATAGTTTGAAACAAGCCACAGCTCTTGTGCGTTTTATAAAAAGAACTGGAAGAAAAGTGCCTCAGAAATTGAAGGAAATGGCAAAGAAATGCCAAAATGTGAGTGCTGGATGTAGTGAGGTTAAGTTGTACAAATCTATGTAAATCTAGATATTTTACTTATACATAATTTTTATCAGTTAGGAGAAGTTTCTTCTAATTCGGGTAAAATTTTGATAATTATTCACTTCTTAAGAACTACAACAATATAAAAGAAAACTTAGAAATGTACATCATGTTTAATATGATGTTTTTTAACTTGGGTTTCTACATTTTTCTTCTCCAATTGTAATTTACATATGTTTGTAGAAGGTTTTGCTTGAAATCTCAACAAAATGAAAAAGGGTAAGTTTTCATGCTGTTACCTCATAAAGAAGTAATATAAATAGGACTTCATCTACAAGAAGCATTGTGTTGTTTTTGATTTGCCCTTGTCCAGGGTTACTAAGGAGGAGTGAGGACTGGTGAATTAAATGATAGATTGGGCTTCGTTTTTAATTAACTTATTGTACATTATAACCATCTAGCATGAATAGCTATGGTATTTACTAAAAATATTTTTTGTCAGTGGCAACAAATAATGTATAACTTGAAGTGCTTTTCATCTTACTGGAAACCTTTAATAGGTAATCAAAAAAATTATGCAATTGAAATTGTCTCTATAACCTGAAGTTTAAAGTTTCTTTGTTGATTGAACTGCTATCTTTCAGTATTCTTGCAGGATAGACATCTCTGAATAGAACTTGTATGTCTATACAACAGTGATGGAAGGTTACCATGTCCATAGAATGCTGTCTGTTAGTGCTTTTAAAAGATATGCCTGATGATTAGACAGCTGCCTTTTTGTACATGTTTGTTGACTGATGTTATTGGCTGATATTTCTCTTTTCGGCATCTGTTCAAGTGGGGCTGATAGTACTTTTCATGATTCATTATACCTGTAAATTATTTAATTTTCACTGCATATCAACTCAACACAGAAGAGATACAGAACTGTAGTTGTTTGATTTAGTTTACAAATAAATGGATTGGCATCCTACACACAATCCATCTAAAATGAAAGATCATTCTGCTTCAGAAAAGCTTGCAATGCAAGGACTCAAAAAGGTAAGGAAATAATTGTGTTCTTAATACTAACATTCCACTATTTAATATATTATTATTATTAGAGTAATTATTGGATATGCATTCTTTTAAGTTTTATTTGGAATAAAAGAAGACTCGCTAACATGGGATTGAAGCATCCAGTTTCTATTCAAAAACATTGTCACTTTTTGTTTTTATAATTATTATCTATATCTATTTATTTAGTTTACTAATTAAATTTAGAATTGTATTGTTAGCATGTAAGTGAATTTTTTGATCACTTCAAGATGTCATTTTTAGTCTTGTTGATAAAAGAGACATTATCAAATAACTTTTATAAGTTGATTGAACTTGGTGTTTTGTTTATATGTCAAAAATATCCCTCTTATACATTGGGGAGAAGTCTGTGCTTCAAAATAATGAAACATTAGTTTCTTTGTATAACAGGGTTGGAGTATATTTCTATCTTACATTTAACATCAGGAAGGTGTTTATGCTTAAAGGTGTTTGGAGTTTACTTATTTTACTTAACAATACATTGTAAGACATGAGTTAGGATACTAAATAATATGTTTTGTAGTAAGTAAACAACTAATTGTTTTGTGAGATCTCAAAGTATGGTAAAAAGGCACAGCATTGTTTGTTTAAATAGGGGCAGAGATAGTGATGATTTGAGGTGTTGTGTGTTGTTTTCCAAGCATTCTGTCGTAGCATACTCGAGCAACATATGTTTTTATGTTTATTTCTTATTTCTTACAGATGGTAGAAGGTCAGCAAAGCAAAAGCAAGCTGTTTTCTGAAATTGACCCTGATACAGCAGAGTGGATTGGCTGTTCTGCAAAAGTTAACTTGGAAAAAAGAAAAATACATCCAGTGCTAATATAGAAGTACAAACAAAGGAAGAGGAGGAAAAAGGAAGTAAATCTGGACAAAGTGTTAGAAAACCAGCCTAAACAGTTGGAAGTACCAGATAAGACAAAAGCAGTGGCAATAAATGAACCTGAATCTAAAGCAATTGACAACAAAATTCTTGAAATGTTTGCGCAGATGATCAGCCATTTATTTTAGTATCTGATGCTGGTTATCAATGCCTTATTAATGCACTGGAACCGAGATACAACATAAAAAGTGAAAAAGTTTCCTGGATACACACACATGCTTGAAGAAAGCTTCTGTAAAGTGGAACAAAAAATAAAGGATCTGATAACAACAATGAATGCTGGCTACAGCATATCTTTCGGTGCTGACTGTTGGGCAGGAACAACAGAATATCTTATGAGTCATAATAGCTCAATGAATTGGCAGTTGGCTAATATCTGAATTATATACTGTAGAGTACATAAGTCATATCTTCATGGATATGATGAATCACTGGAAGATCAGCACAGATTGAGTACTGCTAGTTCTAAGAGACAATGGATCAAAAATAGTGAAAGGAATGAATTTGATGTACATATCTAGTTTAAGCTGCACTGCTTTTACACTACAGTTTGTGATTAATGATGGTATTTCTAGTCAGAAATCAGTGACAAACATTCTAAAGTGAATCACAACTTATTTCAATCATTCACATTTATAAGATATATATAGGGAACGATTTCTCCAAACACAGCATAATACGGTCTTGTCCAAACTTGCTGGAATTCAGTGTTCCAATTCTACAACGAATGGTCGAGCAGAAATGTGCATTTAATGTTTTAATGCAGTGAGTATGAGCACTTTTCATGTCCGACTGACTGAGTGCTGATCAGTTGGAAACTTTGACTTCTTTTGAAGAAATTACTCTAGAAATGAGCAAAGCTAGTACCTATGCATCTTGCATAATTCCCAGTGTCACCTTTCTCAAATGACTACTTCAGGAACAAGGACCTTCCACTAAAGGAATCCAAACTATATGCAGCACAATGCTGGAGAACCGTACCAAATGGTCTCTGAAGTAGATGTTAAAGCTAAGGTATTTGCATATGTGCTTGACCTTAAGTATAAACAGTACACATTTTCATCTGTGGATACCTTAACCAAAGCCATAGCATGGATTGTAGAAGAAGAGAGAGAGCGAGGCTGGGAGAACTTAAAAGCACCAAGTCAAACAAGCTGTAGTACCATCACAAAAAGTTTGATGATTAATCTAAAAAGTAATAAAAAAGACAAGGAATAGAAGCTCCATCTGCAACTATACTGGATAGTATATATGAGTATTCTTGGTATAAACAAAGCAACTGAAATCTTTGAAGTAGATATTAAGCTAGATTAATGGATTGTTCTGTAATTAAGATAGACAGTCATAGACTGTAAAAGTAGCAAGTCACTGTAGTAGTAGAAGGTAAATGATGAGCAATATAAAGCACTACTCTGTGCTCCAATGTCTTCAATATCAAGTGAACATGTCTTCAGCACTATTTGCAGTATTTATAATGATAAAAGAAGTTGTATGAGAAGTGATAATTATGAAAAATCTATTTTCCTTCACTACAACCTGCAACTTTTAAAGTAGAACTGTTAGAAGTCAGAAAAAGAACAGAGATAAGTCTACTAAGACTTTAAAGACAATTGTGACAAAATTGTGGAATGTAATGTAATTTTGTGAATATTTTGTACATAGGTTACACGTAAGAAAACATTTAGTTGTTGTGTTTATCTTCTGTTTTTATTTAATTTGACATACTAGCAGAAATGCTGCCATACATCCGACTGTTTGTGCTAGTAATTACTAGCATACTTCATTGTAAAAACTGTTAAAAAAGTGAACATTTTCTAAAAAAGTATTTTTTCTGGGAAGTACTGCACAAGAAAAGTGTTCAGATTGTTCTCTTTAGTCATATGCAACTCATTGCATAAAAAATGATTCAATATACAGAGCTCAAAATTTTCATAAATTTTGCTGATATAAACTGTACATTCAAAAAGGTACCTTACTTTTGCTCACATACCTAGTTATACTTGTTCAGTGCTGCCCTCTATTTGCAAACATTTTGCATGCCCCAAGCCTTTCATTCCCACACTCCACTCGATTGATATGGATTAACTGATTCTCACATGCAAGTTATCATGCAACCAATAGTAGTGCTACACACCCACGTGACTCCTATGCTATTCTACCTGACTGTTGCTTCTCGTTCAGCAGTGCTTGTGTTCAGACGTTTAGTTTGTGCTCTCTTAAGTTTTTTTTCCTCGTATCTTTGTATTAGTTTCTCTCACCAATGTTACTATTTATTATACAACTGTTATACTTGTAACTTATTCTGAAGTGGAATTATTTCATATTTCTACCCAGTTATGGAACTTAATACTTCATTGCAAATAATTTTGAATATGAATTTTGAATTCTAAGTTACCATTTCGGAGGTTATATCTTCTATCAGCATATTTACACAGGCTTCAGGCAGTGTTCCTACTTTGGAAAAATAAGGCATTATACTGTTATGTTTTATTACTATTTTTACTGTTAATATTGTTATCTGTAGCTATTTGGGTTCAATAACCTAAGTTTAGTTAGATTTGTCAATACTCATAGTTATGTTCAGGTTTGAAATTAGAGCTTAGTTGTATCCTTTATTCTATAATGTGAGATTAGACTTAACATGGGTCCTTGTTATTTTAGGATTACCTGTAATTCATCTTACTGGTGTATCGTAAATTATGTTAACTATATTGTTTTTTCTTCAAAACATCACATCTCATACATATGTTAGTGTCAATACTCACTTACTTAATTTTACAATATAATGTCTATTTCATTTTTGTTATTATTTATCTGTTATACTTCTTCATGTTAATTTTGTTTGTGTGGACCTCCTGATGTTGTATGTGTTATTGTTAGGTTAAGGTTTTTCAATTAGATCCTAGTGATATACTTTGTCTTGCACAGTTCGATTAGACTTACCAATTCCCTTTTTAACTGTAGTTCATCTTACGGGTGAATTGATAATTAGGTTAAATATCTTGTTTTCCTCAACACATAACATCTCATACATATGTTTATTTCACTACACATTAAATGTACATTATATTGACTATTTCATTTTCATAATTCTTAACAATTTATACTTCTTACAATTAATTTAGTTTGTGAGGACCCCTGGGGGCTGCCCTACCTTCTCCTGATATTGATTGATTTACTCTTACAACTTCTAAGCCTGTTTAGGCTTTAGGATGACCTAGATTTTGTCAGTTTTCCTCCACCTGATTATGGTTTGCCTTCCTAGGCTTCTACTGTGGAATCTGCTAGGCCTACCTCACCCTTTTTAAGACATGTTTCACGGTTTACTTTTCCACTCCATTTCCAGACATTATGTTTCATGGTGAACATTTTTGTCTCTTTTGGGAGAGGGTACTTGCATGCCTCATCCTCCACAGGCTTTGGTTAAATTTGCCTTAGCTTACCATCAGGCAGATTTTCTTCTTGATTCTATGTACTTAGGATCTCTGTCGACTGTATAGGGACAGTCTCTGTTAATCCTATCCATTTTATCTCCCACCTAGTTTCCCAGTTTCATCATACCCTAGCGACTCTCCTGCAGGAAATATCTACCTTACACCTCCTTTCTTAGGCATTATGACTATATCTAGGAGATTTTTTGTAGGAAACCTCTTCCTCCTTCCCTCCATATTGGAGCATTTGCAATCTTCAGTTCATTCCCTCCACGTGTAGCTTCTTTGCTTTTGGGATCTTCTGGTGTGGACACTATCTTGTACCATGTTTATCATCCACTTCTAATAGAAACTTCTGGTCAGCTCCTTTTCTCCACCGGTCCATTTTTTGGGGCTACTCTTGTGCATTTAGCATCACGTGGCTTATCTGCAATGCTATAATGTATATTTTGATTTGGTTGCTCTTTTGTTTCATTCTGAGTATTTGTCATCTTTATTCATGTTCCTTGTCCAGCACCTTACTGTCCTTTACCTGTCCTACCTATGGGTTTCTTCATTCATAGGATATATTAAATGCTGATTGGAGTTTTGGTTCAATTGGTCCCATCTCAATGACCTCTTGGTTCTTCCCCATTTTTATTATGTAGGCTTTGATCACAATCGGGTGGCAAATTTCTGCAGGACTGAGAATGCCCATGGTACATGTTCATATTTTTCATTTCTCGGGATGCTATCTTAGGTTTTTTCATCATGTGATTTGGTACCAGCTTTGTGTCTTGCCCTTTGGACTAGTTTTGGTTCCGTATGTCTTTTGTCATATGGTCTGCATTTTACCTAACCTCCACGTTTTGAGATTTTACTAACACCACTTTTTTGATGTCCGGCTTTGGTTAGCTCCTTCTGAATGAAGTTGTCATAACATACTCATTTGCTTCTTACACAAGCAGCACAGATGGTTGAATACGTTTTCCTGTTACCTATGTAACAATTTCAGCTATTTTCCAACACCACCTCTGTTGGAACCATCCATTCTTCTCATCAAATGCATTCGATGGAGCTTTCTGTTATCCACACCATTATGATTCACTATCCTACTGCTAGCAAGGTTCTAACACATTGAGGGATGTGACTTCTATGGAAGAACTTTTCCCTTTGCAATCTTTTCAGGAGATGCTGCACGTCCAATGATCTCTTGCTAGGGTTCCTTTGGATTCTCCTCATAGCTTTCCTCCTTCCCTCTTCGTCTGTTTGAACATATCTTCCTTGTCATTGGGTTTAACGATTTTTTTCTTCTGCATTTGTTTCTCTTCCCCAATACTCATCTCCAAAGTTGGGGGTATGTGGGTTGATCAGCAGGATACTTCAGGACAATGGTCTGTGGATTAAAGGTCTTGCCTTGTTAACACCCTGGCACTTCTGGCAGTCCAACGTGCTTTATTTCACTTTCTTTCTCTTGTCTGGAGTTCACTAATCATGTTTCATTCTGACTATTCGATGGTAGCTTATATTACTTGCCAAGGGGGCACTTGTTCTTGTTTCCTTTGTGGTAGACAGTGGATCTGCATTTTACTTGACATGTATCTCCTGGCATGTTATGTTCCAGGTGCTTTTGTCCTTGTTGCAGATTGCCTTTCCAGTCCCTACATGCTTTCTCCCAGGAAGTGGCCTCTCAATCCTCCTATGGGGTACTCCTCAATGGGAAGCATTTGACTTTTTTTCTCGCTTCCAAGTTACTTCTTTTGTTTTGGTCTTCAGTTCATCATCCAGTCCATTGCCCTGGCTGTCAATACATTCAGATAGGATTAGATCCAGTTTATAATTATAGTTTTTCTCATTTAGTCAGTCTTCTTCCCAAGGTGATTTTCTTGGCTTTTTCTGCTTTATATATTCATTTTGTTCTGGATTGATTTTGCTAACCTACACTTTGGAGGTTCATGTGGAATATTTTTTTCATTATTTTCATTTCTTGCCATCTTCCACTTTTATTCTTGGTTGGAACTGGATGACCTTTTCTGTCACATACATGCTTTGTGTTTCTTCAATGCTTTCCAGGCTTCTTTCCTGTGACTCTATTTCCTGCAGTTTCATTCCTTTGCACAACTCCTCTGTTTGTGATATTTTTTCTCCTTTCTCCCGTACCCATTGGGTTCAGCTTGTAATTTGATTGGCCTTTTATTCCTTGTCTCTCTTCTTTCCATAATCAATTCCTGGCATCTTTACTTCGTCCAGGCACCTTACCTTTTACCTGCATCTCAACCCCATTGTCTGTTGGAGGTATTCGTCTGTCGAGCACTGGGACTACACCTCATATATTCATCTCACATTATTGGCTTTGGGTAGTTGTTTCTTCCTCGTCAGGGTACCGTATTCCACCTGTTTCTATTCTTTACTCTTCGGGGAGACTGTAACTGGGTAAGTTTTCTTTCTTTTGTCATATATATATATTATTTTTCAGGGGCTTGTCCCATGTTTTGACCAGGATCCCACTCTGTAGCGTATGGTGCCTGCCCAGGTATTTTTCAGTCACTTAGAATTGTACTAAAACCTGCACTGTAAGGCCATGTTGACTTCACTTTCATAATTTCCATGGCCAAAAATGCGCATTGTTCATTATAATCACATAAATTAGAGATAGAGTTTCCACAAGATCGCTCGTAGGTTATTCTTCCTGATATCTTTGCTTCATAAATACAAACCCATGGACTTCATGGGTAAAGCAGAAGGACCCATTGACATTGGGGAGGAAGGGTGGGAAGTATGAGCA